TCTAAAAGTTGTTGACTAAAATATCACTAAACAATTTTTAGGGGAAAATTTTTAATTGTTTTTTATAACAAATGCAAACTTTTTATTTTTGACCATTACAAACAAAAACTCAAACCAATGTGTGATGGAAATTTATAATAAACCTCAGCAGGCATTTCTTTTGAAAATAATAATGGCAATAGATTTTATTATAATAGTTATTATTGTATGTTTAAGAAAAAACTAAATGATAAAGATAAAAAAAAAATCCTAATTTAAAACTTTAAAAACATTTGCTTAATTTGTAAAAAATTCAAAAAAACCTATTTTTTATGTTATATGTAAGGTGACCAACTATACTCATTTACTCAGTTTTGTACTCTTTTATCACAAACTGTTCTCCTTTCAAATCCCGTACTCTGAAAGTACTCATTTGTATAAATTTATACTCATTTGCATTTCTAAAACAATTTTTTAGATTATTTTATTTCAATTTTATTAATTATTTATTTAAAATTATTTTGACACTAATTTGAATTTTATTTTGCTTGCCGTTTCCGGGACGTCAGAGGATAGGGCAAACACCAGACACAAGTTTGACAGTGATCTGAATTTCGCGTGCACATATGGCTGCCGTTTTCAGAACAATTGAGAGGCCGTATTATGTACCTAGAGAGATAGATAGATACTACCTATTTTTCTAACAACGTCAAAATTACATTTGTGAAAAGAGATGGATATATCTATCTCTCCAATATTTGTGTACGTAATTCCCAGGCTGATCTTTGATGTGCAGTATGTACAGTATGTATGTATATATGTCTCATTTAGCAAAAAAAACATCTTTATTTAGCAAAAAAAAATCCACTCCGAAGAAAAATATGTTTTTAAAGTTTTTTTTTTTTTCACCTATGAAATACTTGCAAAGTGTACTCTTTTTGAACAAAAAATAGTTGGTCACCTTATTATATGATATTTGGTTGTTTATTAATAAACTGAGTTTTCAATAGTTTTATTAAATTAGATTAATAAAATTAGGATAATAAAATCTTAGATTAATATAATCTAAATTATTTAAAACCTACTTAACTGTCGCTAGAATATCTATTGGTAAGTTTGTTGGAGGGCAACTGAAATCATTTGCTTAGCACATGAGTGTTTAAGTATGCAGTAGATGGTTATAATAGGAAAATCAAATTTAAAGATATAAAAATTAACCACAGAGAGAAAAACGAAATTGAGACGAAATGAGCAAAATAACCTTTAATACTTTACCAGCCAAACAACTCTTGTCTCGATGTCCAGCAGTATCCATAGATATATACGTAAATTTATAATGGTGTAAACTTTAAAGATTTTTATAATAAATTGCTGAGTATGTGTTTCAGTTAAAATACAATACCAACTATTTAATATGTTAAAGAGCTATTAATTTTCTTTTTTTAATAATAAATAGTAATTAATATATGGCTAATATTAGTAATTTATCATCGGTTATTAATAGTTTTAATAAAATACAGAAGATTATTAGTTACTATAAAGTGCACAGACTAATAATATCAAATATTGTATAGGTGAAATTATTTTCTGCCTTTTACTATAATCCAATATATTGGCTATTAATAGCCTATAATAAAGGCTACATTATTGACGTAACACTGAATAAGTAAATTATAGTTTTTAATTAATCACTCAATGTATTTGTTGAATTTCAAAGTTATTGACAAATTATAATAATTTTTACAAAATAATTACCTACATAAAAATAGTTGCAGCTTATAATAGATAATAATGATAATGTTTATTAATTATATCTGTCAAGTTAAATTAGAATGTCAAGATGTTGTTATGATAGTATATACAAATAAAGTATAAAGTTTATTTTAGCATAAAAAAAATAGAGGGCAATTGCAAACAAACAACAAACTGTTTATTTTTCTTTGATAATTATTTACAGTAATAGTAAATAATAATAATATTAATAATAAAAATAATAATAATAATAACAATGAATAATAATAATAATAATAATAACAATAATAACAATACTAATAATAAAATTCTAAAAACTTAATCATGACTATAATAATTATAAGTATATTATTTTATTAATATAAGATAAAGATAGTATTACTCATACAGAAGTTTGATCAAAGGACTGACATCAAATTTGAATAAAATGTGACTAATGACAAAAAAAAAAATTATTGTAATAACAAAGGATAAAATTAATTTCTAATTATAAGAGATTAAAATGCCAAGAAGTTAAAATAAAGTTTTTTAGATTTTTTAAAATTTGATTTTGTTTAAAATGAAAAAGTATATAAATCATTAACATACAACACTCTTGTCTTCACAGATGCACTGATAAACAGCAGAATGCATACCAAACTTTTGATTTTTTTTTGAATACTTATGTATTAATTTACATTGAAACCTTTGACTCTAAACATGACAACAGTACCAAAGATGAAATAAAAGTGAGATTTCTAAAAATAATCTTGTTTATATAATGATGAGTTTTTAAGAGCATATGGTTAGCTTGAGTTTCTCACAATATTTATCAATATAAAATGTGGTTGTGAAAAAATGTAAACTATAAAGTTATAGCCCACACAATAAAAACAATATAAGATTTTAATAAATACAGCTATAATATCATGAGTAATAAATAATGATATAGAATTAACTACAAAATATAAAGTATACTGTGTAATTTATATTGAAAAAGGATAGAGATTTAAAAAAAATATTTTTTTAAATAGGTAAAATTCAAAGCTAAATTTCAACAGAAAATGTAAATAAACAAAAGATATGGATTAAAGTTCATGTTTTTTAATAAGCATACAAAATATTTGAAACAGGCTCAACTATGCTTAAATGCAAAGGTATTAGAATGCAAAAAGTTTTTTTAAAATTAAAGCATATTTCTAATAAGATATGCTTATTTCAATACTATATTTGAATTTAAGATGTATCTTAAGAAAAAAAAAAAGTCAAATAATAAAACATATATTTTGAATAATATTGTATTAAATAAATACTGCGTAAGAGACTACAGAGAAAGAGACAGCAAAAGAAAAAAAAAATGATTTTGAGTTTATGAAGTCATAAATGATTTTTTTCATTCATGACTTCATAACTTCATAAAGACTATTTCATAAAGACTTCATAAAGACATCTAATTCATGTTTAAAATTGTTTAACTTCATATTTTCCTATGCAATGACTTCATAAATTCATGAAGCCATTACTTTGCAAAACAAAAAATCTGTATAAATTTTTATTTTGTCGATTTAAATAGTTTTAATTGAAAAAAAAATATTTAAAGTTTTAATTAAAAAAAGTTTAAACCATTTAATGGTATCAAGGCTCAATAATCTCAATATGCTTATTTTTTACAAATTGCTTTTTTTTATATTCTTTTTTCTTTTTTGTTTTTCGTTCTTTACTTTATATTTGCTCAGTTAAATAACTGTTTTTTTTTCATTTTTAATTTTTTCTCCTTTATTTTGAACAGTATTAAGATATTTTATATCTTACTTTTATTTATATATTTGTTTATTAATTATTATAAGATTTTAAAACTTACTGCTGTTAATAATGTTTTATATGATTTTTTACTGCTTTTTAATTGAGTTTTTTTTACTGCTTTTTAATTGAGTTTTTTTTTTCAAATTTTTATTGCTGTTAAAAATGTTAGCAATGAAGTAATTAAACAAAACTCAAAAAATTTTCTGCTGTTTATTTGTGTTATTTTTTGTAATTCATTATTTTATAAGTTTATTTGATTTTTATTTAGTTATGTTCTTTTATAATGTAGTTTAACTAAGTAATATAAGACAAACTATAACAAGTTAAAAGCTATTTAGTTTCTATTTTCTATATTGTCTAATCTATGAGATTTCAAAATCATTTTATCATTTTTTTTGATGTCATTTAAAAATATGTTTAGATAAGAAATTTTTTTTCTATATTAGAACAAGATTCAACTGGTAATAAAGGTTTAATAAACTCATTCTTCAAAAGTTAAATTAATGGAGATGTGACCAATGTATTTATTCAAATAACAAACTTGTAGTGGCTTTGCTAATTTTAAGAACAGTCAATTTAATTTGCTTTGTCATGTATTTCTGTTCAGTAAAAAATAAATTTATTAAATTTTAGATTTTATTTCATCATTCGGTGTAGTTAAGGTGATTACAAATTATTCTAATTCTTTTAATTGGAATTAGCATGGTTTTGTCAGCATATTATATCCAAACAAGATCTTTAAATGTTATAATTTTTTTTACTTTAGGTTATTATAATATTTAAAGAAACTTTTGTTTTTTTAATACAATTTTCATAACCTTTTTACTACCCGCAATAGTGAATCTAAAGAATACCATTTTGGATCAATCCGCTCATCGGCATTAACATGAATTTAGTTTAAATCTTTTGAAAAAGTTCCTTAATTTACTACTGATTCTAGTTCTAATTGATTCTGACGTATTTTAACTACATATTGTTGTGAAAACACAATATTTCTATCAATTTTCACAAAAATTACTAGAATTTTGACCAAGAATAAACATATAATAAGGAAAAATTGCCAATAAATGATCAGAACAGATCATATTGTTAAACTATAATGTTCATTTCACCTAAAAAACGTATTTATATAAAATTTTATCAAAATTTGGACGAGCGATTATGATTTTAAAAAGATTTTTTTAAAACAAAAGAATCTTCGGTCTGGTTTTTTTTTGCTATAAACATTTATATTTTATGATACCGCAAATTTTATCATTTTAATTTTTTTCGTCTTTTCATAATTCACAGACCTGATCATTTAACGGAAATATGTTATAGTCATCAAAATAACTTACAGACTCTATTATATTTTAAAATTGACTTGACTACACCGAGCAAGTAAACATTTTTTTAAACTAATTTTTAATTAAATTTTTATTGCTTTGTAAATATTTATTGATTTTATTGTGTTGATAAATCTTAGTTCCTATTACTATTATTTAAAGGTTTAAAATGGCAGAGTTAAATATTGGTGCTCATTGCTCATTTAAAGAATGCAATCAAATAGATTTTCTACCAATTAAATGTCAAAAATGTGATTTGATGTTTTGTAAGTTACACTCTGTAGATTATCAACACTTGTGCTTGTTTTCTTCTAATGTGTCTATTAATGAAGTATCTGGAAAAGGTTCAACTTTATCTGGATATAAGTGTAGTATTGATGATTGCCTTGTACGAGAGCTGATAATGATAATTTGTGACAGGTGTAATCAGCAAACATGTCTAAGACATCGCTTACCAGAAGATCATAGTTGTCAAGGGTTTATCAAATTTATTAAAACTAATGGATGTAAAATATTGGCAACTCAAGGTTCTGGACTTGAACTACAAATAAAATCTGATGGAATAGAATTGCTCACAACTCAAGGTGCAAAGAATTGCATCAAACACAATTTAAAGACACATCCAACAAATAAGCCTTCAAAAACATTAACAAAAGTAATGCAAATGAAAATGAAAATGAATTCCATTGGGAATGAATCTGTTCCTTTATCTGAGAGAATTTATTTGAATGTTTTTTATCAAAATCAATGCAAGCCTTTATTTTTTAGCAAAGAACTTTCTATGGGTAGAATTCTGGATCTATCAGCTCAGCAATTCGATTTAAAAAATCAAAATCAGTTTGCTTTCTCAAAAAAGTTAATATTTTGTACCTTTCAGAATAAAGAAATAGCTTTAGATATTAAAATAAAAGATGCAGTTGAAATTTATCACCTTAATGAATTTGGAGATATTATTTTGAAATATGAATAATTTAATGATATAAGTGTCATATTGGATTAAAGCTAATGTAAATTTAAAAAGTGTCATAAAAATGTTTAAAAACTAAATTTCTATGCCAGTGTTTTCCCTTGTTTGTTACATTTTTTAATAATAATGTTTGTTAAATATATTTAATTATTCATTATTGATTGAAATAATAATTTTAAATCATGGTTTTTATATTATTAGTTATTTTATAGACTTTTATTATTTAATTGCTACATTATTTATTAAATTATATATATATATATATATATATATATATATATATATATATATATATATATATATATATATATATATATATATATATATATATATATATATATATAAAGTTTTTGAATAGATTTTTTTTTAATTTTTAAGTGTTAAGTTATAAAATAGTTTTTGGTTCAATCAATATTCTACTATTCAATCAATTTAAGTTTTCATTGGTTCAATCAATATTAACATTCTGCTTAAAAATGGTGAGTAAAATATGTAAATTTTAAAATATTTTGTTTGTTTTTAACTGTGATAAAAAGGTTTTAAAAATAAAACAATAATATAAAGTTATAAGAAATATAAATTAAAAAAATATTGGAGAAAATTTTTTATTAGCATATTTATAAATGCTTTTATCCTGAATTACATGCATGATGCATACTGTTTTACATTATTTAAAGAATATGTTTTTGGATTAAAACTATTACTTAGACTCTGCAATACTAAAATGTTCTAAATTGTTCTAGTTATTTTCAAAGACTTTTTTTAAATGGCTGTTGCAACCCTCTCTCAAACCATTAATAAAAATGTAGATATTAGCAATAAAATAAAAAACAAATTGTTTGGTAAATAGATATTATCAATAAAATTAATAGTGAGTAGATATTAACAATAAAATAAACAACAAATTATTTGGTGAGTAGATATTATTAATAAAATAAGTAGTGAGTAGATATTAACAGTAAAATAAGCAACAAGTTATTTGATGAATAGATATTATTAATAAAATAAGTAGTGAGAATATATTAACAATAAAATAAACAACAAGTTATTTGGTAAGTAAATATTATAATTAGTCTGTAATCAAGATTATTCATGAAATCTTGATTAAAGTACATGTTACAGTACATGTTAAAATGTTAACACAATGAAACTTTATTTTTTGATATATCTGACAAGGAGAGGGTGTTTGTCTAATTTTGGCCAGATATTCAAAGTCTTTCAAAGAAAGTTTAAAAACAGTTTTTATTTAAGCATTATTTCTTCTTCTTTTTTTTTGTTATAAAAAGTACAGTTAAAACTAAATTTTTTTTGTCCGACAACACTTGTTTAACAAGCAATAATTTTTTGAGAATATGGCTGGCCAAGTTATTTACAAATTCAGTTAGAAAAAGGTTTTAGTGAGCTAAATTGAGAGCACTAATAGGGTTGTAGTCATGGTTTAAAATAGAACATTTTTCTGAAGAAAACCAAAAACTGGTTCTTTAAAAAAAAACATGTTTTTTTGGTTTAAATTCCCTTTTTTTAAAAGAAGCTGTGTTTAATGAACTTTTTCAATTAAATAAAAGCATTTCACTTGAGTAAATTATACCATCTATCAGTATTACTGGTATAATCAGTAATACTGATCAATACATCAATCAATCATTATTTAAAGTTCTGTATATAAAACAAGGTTTTCCGCTTTTACTACTCCCCTCCTGTTTCTTGGTTTAAGCCATATATTTTTCTTTTACTACTCCCCTCTTGCTTGGTTTAAGATGTATATATATATATATATATATATATATATATATATATATATATATATATATATATATATATATATATACATATATATATATATATATATATATATATATATATATATATATATATATATATATATATATATATATATATATATATATATATATATATATATATATATGTATATATATATATATATAAATATATATGTATATATATATATATATATATATACAGGCCTTGTTTTAAAGCGTTACGCCTAAGCGATTTACGTACGCCTTAGGCGATTTTTACGTACGCATAGAGCTGTTTTGGTTAAGCTACTTTTTATCATTTTTTAACTTTTAAATTAGCGGTAACATAAAAGAAGTAATTAGTTTTTAAAAAAACCACATTAACTTTTAAATAACGATATGTAAAGATATTTATTAAAAAAAAGAATTTACTTTAAAAATAATTGTTGTATCTTTTCATCGCGATATATCTTTCCTTTTTATAGCAATTAATTTGACGCTAAACTTTTTATCCAAATATTTAGCAACATGAAAAATTGTTTGTCAATCCTTAACTACAAATTTTTTGCAATGTTTTTAATAAAAAGTAGTAATTTTTTAAAGTTTTCAGTAAAAAACTTTTAAAAAATCTATATTCCATATTTATTAATACAGAATATAAATGTTTTTTGTAATATAGATTTTTTAAAAATTTTTTACTGAATTTATAATAAAAAACATTTGCAAAAAAATTTGTAATTAAGAATTGACATTTTTTTAAATAAAATCTCAAAAAATGTCATAATATTTTTGTTATCATGATAACAAAAATATCAAGACATTTTTTCGAGATATTAAAAAAAATGTCTTTGCTTTTCTCATTAGTTAGAGGTATATAGATACCTTTACCTTTAAGTTATGCTGGAGGAGGGCGTCGGCACAGAAAAAAAAATTACCTGTTACTCGCAATATTTGAATGAAGACAATTTGTTAAATTTCTTCTGCGTGCGATTCAATAAGTTTTTTTTTTTAATAAATCAAGTTATATTATAAGGTAAAGAAATCATGAGTAGACTACAACATCCGCTGATGACACTAATATTACGTTGAATATATTTATATAACGGAGGTTTTATTATGCACGCCACATTACAGGTTCCGTTAAATAAATACTAAGGCACGTTTTAGTTTAATGACAGTCTCCATTTTTTACTAACGAATATGTATTTTTCTTTATAAAACAAAACAACCTAGTATATAAAAACCTTGTATATTTCTATTATCTCTAAATTGTTTAAAATTCGAATATGGATTGTATTTTGAAGGACAAAAGATTTACTTTAAAAACTTTTAAATCTTGGGACTTTGCCGATGCTTTGCCGATGCGATGATCACAGAAAAAGAGAAGACTTACGTTATTAAAATCAAATGTAAGTTATGTGATCTTCATCAAAATAAAATATTATCCAAAAACAATGGTGCCGTAAGAGCAACTGCCCAACGGTTTATAAATAACACAAGTCATGTTAAAATATTTTAACATGTTACTATATTTTAATTAAGTTGATATATAATTAAAAATAAAAATATAGTTCAATAAATAAATTAAATTTGTTCTTAACAAAGATTACCTCATATTTGTTCCTTTTTTATTTGATTAAGTTAAATTGCTTACAAACGAAAAAAAAAGAGTTTTGTAATTATACGTAGAATGAAAATACTTTTGAGTTTGTTTATAAGTTAAGGAACTTAATTTTTAATTAACAAATTTTTACGAACGTTTAATTATAAACAGATACGATTCAAATTATTAAATATACTTAAATTATTTCAGTTGAGTATTTTTTTAAATTTGCACGATTAAAGTTTTGCATAGAAGTATGTTTTTTTGTTTTAAGAATAATTAACAAAAGAGTTTGCATAATTAAGACTTTTATATTTAATTTTTTTAATTTCCTAAAATTAAAAAAAAAAGATTTAATCGTTAAAAGCGATTTTTCTCTATAGCTCTGTTTCTTTAATTTGTTTAAAAAGTAAAATATTTTCACAATAACATAAAAAATTTATGAATTAAATTCCTGGCGAACGCGTTCTAAACTATGTATCAAAAATATGCTCAAAGCAGACAAAACTTTTTTATATTTTTATAAAACGCAAGTTGAAACGCTAAGCAAGATAAATTTAAAAAATATTTAAAAACCTAAATTTTTCTTTGCTAGTCAAAACAAAATTGTTGTTTAAATAATTAACATGGGTTTGTGAATATCAATGTTAATATTTTTTGTTTACTCTAGAAATTTTTATTTTTTATTCAATAACGATTAAAAACAATTATTCAAAAACAAATTTCAGAAATAATATATATATATTTATATATATATATATATATATATATATATAATATATATATATATATATATATATATATATATATATATATATATATATATATATATATATATTTTACTTAATAATATTGAACTAAAATTAATAATAAAATAACAATTGAAAACATTACAAAATTTTTATAATAAATTTACATTTAAAATGTTTATAGTTATTTGAGTTAATTGTTAAATTGAACTAATTTGGGGTTATTAATTTATTGCGGTATTTAAAACACTTGACGTCCATAAAAAAAAAAAGATAATTTTATGACGTCAAAATCGCGTTAAGCTAATGCATTAAGCACTTTTTATTTAAAACAAGGCCTGATATATATATATATATATATATATATATATATATATATATATATATATATATATATATATATATATATAATATATATATATATATATATATATATATATATATATATATATGTATATGTATATGTATATGTATATATATATATTTATATATATATATATATATATATATATATATATATATATATATATATATATATATATATATATATATATATATATATATATATATATATATATATTTTACTAAATAATATTGAACTAAAATTAATAATAAAATAACAATTGAAAACATTACAAAATTTTCATAATAAATTTACATTTAAAATGTTTATAGTTATTTGAGTTAATTGTTAAATTGAACTAATTTGGGGTTATTAATTTATTGCGGTATTTAAAACACTTGACGTCCATAAAAAAAAAAAGATAATTTTATGACGTCAAAATCGCGTTAAGCTAATGCATTAAGCACTTTTTATTTAAAACAAGGCCTGATATATATATATATATATATATATATATATATAAAATATATATATATATATATATATATATATATATATATATATATATATATATATATATATATATATATGTATATGTATATGTATATGTATATGTATATATATATGTATATTTATATATATATATATATATATATATATATATATATATATATATATATATATATATATATATATATTTTACTAAATAATATTGAACTAAAATTAATAATAAAATAACAATTAAAAACATTACAAAATTTTCATAATAATTTTACATTTAAAATGTTTATAGTTATTTGAGTTAATTGTTAAATTGAACTAGTTTAAGGTTATTAATTTATTGCGGTATTTAAAACACTTGACGTCTATAAAAAAAAAAAGATAATTTTATGACGTCAAAATCGCGTTAAGCTAATGCATTAAGCGCTTTTTATTTAAAACAAGGCCTGATATATATATATATATATATATATATATATATATATATATATGTATATATATATATATATATATATATATATAT